CATCACCCGGTTCTATCTATTCTTCTTCCTTCTGAACAAATGTTTTTCACATCTGTCATTTCCTTTCCTTACCCACTGCCAGGTGCCAGGTTCAGATTTTTATTTCAAGCCTGGGCCATTGCACCTGCTCCTAGTGGCATTCTCTCACAAAGTTGCCTTCGTTTGATGAGAGGAACGAGCAGAAGCATTGTTGTGGTGAACAAGGACTCTTCAGTAAAGCTTTCTCGGCCATTCTTCTGATAAGTCTTTGGCTAACTTTCTGCAAACACTCTCATAATATGCAGATGTTATCATTGTTTGGCCCTCCACAACGTCAACAAGCAAAATGCCTGAACACCCTAAAAAAACCATTGCCATGACCTTTGCTCTTGACTGGACCACTTCCACGTTTTGGTAGCCATGGTTTTGATTGTGTTTTGTCTTCAGAATTGTACTGTTAAAGCTGTGTTTCATCTCCTGTTACAATTCTCTGAATAAATACTTCAGGATCTTGATCCCACTTGTTTAAAATTTCTATTGAAATCTGATCTCGTCTGAAGCTGATCTAGGCATAACAGTTTTGGCACCCATCAAGCAGAAACTTGGCTCAACTTCAATTTTTCAGTCAGAATTGTGTAAGCTGAACCAATTGAGATGCCTACGGCGATCCCACTTGTTTAAAATTTCTATTGAAATCTGATTTCGTCTGAAGCTGATCTAGGCATAACAGTTTTGGCACCCATCAAGCAGAAAGTTGGCTCAACTTCAATTTTTCAGTCAGAATTGTGTAAGCTGAACCAATTGAGATGCCTACGGTGTTGGCTATTGTTTCTACTACTAATCATGAACAAGCTTAACTTTTTCCTTGCAAATTGATGTAGATGGTCTGATGCTGTGGGCTTCATCTTCAACATTGTCTCAGCCCTTCTTAAAATGAGTTATGCATTTGTAAACTGATTATTTTTTTGAGGCATTGCCCCCATAAACTTTTCATAAAGTTTCAGTGATTTCACCATTCTTCCACTCAAGCTTCATCATAAATTTGATGTTTGTTCTTGCTTCAATTTTAGCAGTATTCACGTTGCTCTGATAGGGGCTCTTTTCAGGCTGATGTCTTATCGTTCTTAGTGTCTCAAACTAGATACTCTTCAGACACGTCATAACAAATCAGTGCAAGTTTATTTTGGAACAAAAAATTTGGAATCTGTGCATAGTTTTTCATAATACTCATTTCCCATGAACTTTTTGAAGACCCCTTGTATATGATCAATCTCACTAGCAAATCTGTATGCTATGCAGCTGGAATTCCAAGCTACTTTTCCGGTAGTGAAGACTCCGGTGGAGCCAAATAACTGGAAGCACCCCTTAAACACCTGTAGCCTCAGGCTGCCAGTGAGGTATATAGGAACCCCATAACCATATGCTTTCCTGCTCTGTGCGATGGTTTCCACCTTTTCTGCCCAGATAGCATGCTACAGAGAGGCCTTCCCTGGCCCTCCATCTAAAATCCCCTTAGACCTCATTAATGGTTAGACCCCTGTCTTCTTCTCATCACAACTCTTTTTACCATGTAAAATAACCTGGCTTTTTTGCTCACTGTTTTGTATGCCTTCACCCCAGAAAGTGAGCTGCATGTCAGCAGGGTCTTGGTCTCATTCCTCGCTCTGTCCTAGCACCATAGACAGTGTCTGACAGAGTTGACTGAATACATAGATAAATGAATCTCTGCTTCTCCAATGTGTTTCCATTCTTCAGACCGTGCCCAGAACTTTCTTTCCATATAGTCTTGTGAATAAGCCAGTTCACAGTAGCTTGCCCTCATTCAAAGTCATGTAACAACTCCTCATCTAAATTCAGTTGGATCCTGGTAGCAATCACCTATGCCATGTTCTGCTTGTGACGTTTCCTGTATTTTGAATCTGAGTTACCATTCATACCTTGTATGATTATTTACCACATATATTTCCTGAGATTACAAACTTCTTGAAGTCAAGAAATACTTTTGTGCATCTCCCTAGGATTCTTTAGCACAGTACTTTACGCATGATGCACTAATAAATATTTATTTATTTACTCACCCCTAATATGTGCCTGCCATGATGCTAGATGCTAGGAATGCAATGATGGATACAGAACTGTCCCTAAATAATTAATTAGGTGTCCCTAAATAATAAATAAAAGTCCCTTAATAATTCATAATTACTCTGTTATCTCAATGCACATTAGGAAGAGGTGACTCTTGGCTCTCTTAGAAGGCATTAGAAGGCCTGATCCAGACAGACTGCCATGCGTCAACTAGATAACGTCGGGTAGGTTATTTAAGCTCTAGGAGCCTTTCCTGATCTGTTAAACAGAGAGCATAATACTTACCTTACAGAATTATGAAGGAGATAATATGTGTGGAAATATCTCATAAACACCTAAGGGATATGTAAAATACCAGTTATTATCGCCATTATAATAACATAATTTAAGCTGAAACGAGAGCCTCCTTGAATAAAATACATTCAGCGATACTGTTCATTTATTCCAAAGATAATAAGAAACCTGATTGTGCCTGTCACAATGTACTGGGTGACAAGTACATTTGATTAGGAACTCACGTTGCCAAAGTTCCCACAGGCCCGCCATGCCAGGGGGTGACTGCTGCCACCTCAGAGGGAATTCTTGGGCCACAAATCTGGCTTTGCCTGCTGCCGGAAATCAGAAAAGGCTGCAGGGCCATGAGCAAAGAGCTCCAGACCATCCAAGGTAGCTTTGTAGGCTTCTGTAATAAAGCTATGTTTAGAATGCCCAAATGTCTCTATTAAAGTCCACCTGTGGAGCCCATCGGTTTCAGTGATACGTGTGTCTGGTGGTGGCACCATCTTCATAGTCAGCCATGTGACTGACGGTGGATCAACGTGCCTCGTGTACAAGGTTATGTGCTCCCGTTCAGATTCACATGTCTCTCAGTGAGTCACCACCTTTCTTTTCCAAAACTCAGGGCTCAGCTTCCCGCTGAAGGGTTGGCCCTTACCCTCAGACTGGCTCTCCGGTCTGTCTCTACTGAGTCAGGCAGTCCTCCCTTCTACCTCACTGTGCACCAAGGCCAGGGCTTGTTGCTTCAACACACATCCCTAGTGTGGGGGAGGAAGGTCCATGGATGACATCATCTGTTTGTAAACAGTTGCCACAAATTACTTCCCACTGGGAATCACAGAATCTCAGAGATGGAAGTGAGGGCTGCTCCCACGCAGAGCAGGACTGCCTCTCAGAGCCTCCCTGACAGGGGGTCATTTGTCCTCAGCATCAAACATGCTGGATGAATCAATGGGCATTTCTGACCTCACCTCTGAGCACATGCCTTTGGTAGCCGGCTGCTGGGTGGGTGCCATGACATAGATCGCCAGTCACTGGGTCACTGATGGAGCAGCAGTCAGGAAGCCAAACTGTAATTTTCTAAGAGGCTGGGTGTGTCCACAGAGGCTGGAGTGTCCCCTCCCCTGGGTGGTGGTGACTTCTAAGGCAGTAGAGCATGACACTTTGAGGGTGACAGCATGAACTTTGGAGTCAGACAGACCCCAGTTCAAATCACATCGCCCTCCCTCGCCATCCATGGGCCTTAAGCATCCACTAGCTGTGTGACTTTGGCCAAGTCACTGGAACTCTTGACCTCCAGTTTCTTCACATACAAAAAATGGGGAAATTAATGTCTTTATTTTGAGATTATGGTGAGGATTAAGTGAGATAATATATGTAAAGTGCCTCACCTTGTGCCTGAAACAAAGTTAGAGCCCAATAAATAGTAGCTATTGTCACTATTATGATCACTATTATTATCTCGTCCCTTTTGAACCCAGCAGACACCACGCAGAGGACGCTGTTCTACCCTTTTCCTCTTGCCTGAAATGAGTAGGTAAAATCTGTGCCCACAGGGCTGGATTTCTGACATATTTGGGATGACCCCACCACTGCCGCCACAACCACCACCTCTCAAGAATGAGATTCCCCGTTTCTGAGCACAGCATGTCACACCTGCAGAGTCCTGGAAACCATGGTTCCAGGTCATGCCTCAGCTGAACCACTGAGACCTGAGGGGGCAGTTCCCAGTCTCCTAGAAGGCTCAGCTTGAGAAAAGCTTCCTCACCCAGCAAGTAAAGTAGGGGTCAATGATCCTCCATGGGGGGGGGGGGACACTCAGCTGGCCTGATTCCAAAGCCCCCAAGAGTTGCCAGTCCAAACCTTTGCCACACAGCTGCCTGGACCTCATGCACAGGCCAGTGAGCATCTCAGCAGTAAGGATCCAGAAGGCTTGTGGGGGGTGCCAAGCAGAGCAGGGAGGAGCATAATACCCGGAATCACACGTCCAGCCACGCTGTCATGCACTGGCTGAGTGACTTTGAGCAAGTTGCTTAACCTCAGTTTCTCTTCTGTAAAATGGGTATAACACCCACCTCAGCGAGTCATTATGAGTTTTAGATGATTCTTAGCTGGTAAAGTCCTTAGTAGAGTTAGAACAATCAATATGTGATTGCTGCTATCATAATTAACTACTAGAAAGGCATGAATTGTAGTGTTCTACCTTTCACAGACATTGCAAGCCTTTCTACAAGAGCTGAATGAGAGGTAGTGGATGAGGTAATAGAACGAGATTAATAAATACACGAATGAAGGAACAAATAGGAAAAGTGTTCTCAGGAGGTAGAAGCTTTATTATGACGTCTTCAAAGGACATTCAAATCAGAAGGCACTTGCTGTATGAAGCCCCTGCAAACGGTAGGGTCCAGTGTCCCATCCATGGTTCTCAGATCCTCGGGGAGGAAAATCATGTCGGGGTTCCGGGAGTTTTTGGGGGCCGAGAACAAAGTGGGTTTCTGAACATCAAAGTGCAATTAGCTTTATGGGGGCAAACTCCGAGGCCCAGCCCCGCATGGGAGTCATTATTACTACGGGAGGGGCGGCGGGGTGCAGGAGCAGCAGGCGGGGCGGGCCGGCCTGGGCTCGGAGGGTCGCTCTAGCGCAACTTTCGGGGCGCAGGCTCAGCAGCCGCCGGAGCAGCAGCCCGAGCTCTGGTTGTTGCAGGAGCTCTGGGACCTCTGGCTGCCGCCCCCACAGCAGCAGCAGCCACGACTTCGCTGCCGGCGGCGCCTCCTTGGAAAGCAGCAGCAGCTGGTGGAGCTGGAGCCGCAGCAGCCCGAGTCTCCGCAGCAGCCTGAGTCTCCGCAGCAGCCGCCGCCCGAGCTGGAGCCGCAGCAGCCCGAGTCTCCGCAGCAGCCTGAGTCTCCGCAGCAGCCGCCGCCCGAGCTGGAGCCGCAGCAGCCCGAGTCTCCGCAGCAGCCTGAGTCTCCGCAGCAGCCGCCGCCCGAGCTGGAGCCGCAGCAGCCCGAGTCTCCGCAGCAGCCTGAGTCTCCGCAGCAGCCGCCGCCCGAGCTGGAGCCGCAGCAGCCCGAGTCTCCGCAGCAGCCTGAGTCTCCGCAGCAGCCGCCGCCCGAGCTGGAGCCGCAGCAGCCCGAGTCTCCGCAGCAGCCTGAGTCTCCGCAGCAGCCGCCGCCCGAGCTGGAGCCGCAGCAGCCGCCGCCGCAGCAGGAGGAGGAGGCGGCGGGCGCCGGGGCGGGCGTCGGGGCGGGGCCCTGCGAAGACCCCTTGGAGAAGCCTTTGGCGGAAGAGGCGCACTGTTGGGAGGACATCGCGGGATGCACGGCGCACCTGGAAGAAAGGCAGTCTTTCAAAGGCGAGCAGACCTTTTCTTTCCGACAGTGGAACTCAGGGCTTTAGAGATTTGGCTTAGTGAACAACTCAGCCTGGCATGGTGCAAGGGGAAAAAAGCACCAAGAAAGAGGGAAAGCAAAGAAAGAACCCCCAAACGGATGTTTTCAGTGAATTAAAAATGCATAGAGCCGGAAACTGTCTATGCAAATAATTAATGGTTTTCCATTTCCTCTGATTAGAATAAGGACCACCCAAGTTCTCCGCAGTGGAAAATAAAGAGGATATTGTGGCAATATCTCTGTAAGATCCAGTCCAAAATCTTCTCTTGGCTCTTTTCCTCTCCTCCGTTTAACTTTGGCCACAGACCTTCAAGTGATATTCTCCTAGCTACCAGCATTGTATAAACACCCCATCAGTTAACAAGTACCCAAATTGCACGTGTCCCTGCCTGCTGGGTCTAAACAATCCACAAATGCCAGAAGCATGTCCTGGCCATTCTTTCTTGCCTAAGCCTCTCATCCCCCATGACCATTGGGAAAAGGAGAGTTGTGCAAAGAATGGAAATATCCCTCTCCAGAGAGCCAAGAGACCTGAGTTCTAGTCGCAGCTCTTCCACAGACTTTCTGCGTAACCTTGCAAAAGTTACCCCGTGTCTGGCCTTCATGTCCTCATTAGTATGATGAGAAGTTGGCTCACTTGAAATTTAAGGTGCTTTCCAGGGCTCTCCTTCCATACCCACCTGCTGGCTATGTTCTGCCTTCTCTTCCCTTCTGTCTTCAACTCTTCCCAACCTCCCCCAGGGCCCACTTGGAGACTTACCAAACCCTGACTCCAATGGAAGACTCACTCAGTTCTCCAACTGCAACAGGCCACCTGCTAGGCAGTGGACTGAGCAATATCTAGCCAGGGAACCTTTTATTAGATTCCTATTGGGAGGGGCCCATTTCCCAATAGACACGCTCAGCTGACAGTCATACCCCAGAGACATTCATCACTCAGGTAGCACCGTAGGTGGTGCACATGGGCATCCAAGCCACTCCACAGAGGTGCCAGGATTGCTGTGGCATGTTTACTTTCCAAACAGGACACTGTTTGTAGCTGGTAGGGTTGTGAGTATGCTAAAAGTAGCCATGGGACTCAAATGAGAAGTCCGGCACCTCTCCTTCTGTCTCCTACGATGCGTGCACACATATATGCACACACACAGTACCACTTGCCCACACATCCTTCCCTGTGGAATCATCTATTTGGTCATTTGTGTTGGTTCACGTCTCTCTGGCTCTTGGTCCCTGGCTCCTCAGGGCAGGCCACAGGCCATGTGATAAGCCTGCTGGGTTTCATGCAGATGCTTCCAGTTGGAGTTGAGTGAAGATGATGGATGGCGGGAACCCACCTGTGGAAATCCCAGTGGAGATTTCTCTCTGTCACTGGCCACAGAAGGAAAAAGCCAAGCAAAGTTAAGGAACCATTAAGACTAGAAAAGTTGTGAATATAAGTATGTCACCATATCCCCCATAAGACAGTCCTGGTGGGCCTGAGGGAAAAAATGTGTGCAGGATGCTGGCCTAATTGCAAAATGGCAAGCCAGCCTGAAGGACCCCTGATGCTTCCCTGCTCCCCACCCCTGATTTCCCTTTGAAGCTGGTTCTCCCTGGGGCCACTACCAATAGAAAAGAAAAGAAGAAAGGAAAAGGAAGAAGAAAAAGGGAAGAAAGGAGGGAAGGAGAAAGGAAAAGGAAGAGGGAAGGAGGGAAGAAAAGGAAGAGGGAGGGAGAGAGGGAAAGAGAGAAAGAAAAAAAAAGAGAAGGAAAGTCCTTTCCAAAGGTCTAAAGTGTCCAAGATAAATGGTGCTTTTAGAATAACTTTTAATAATTGGAGAAGACTTTGGAGGTCAACTGGCTTTAGAACTGCTCCTTTATCAATGCAACTGCCCAGAACCATGAATGTGAGATACGAGAAAGATCTAAAACTAAGAATTCAAGAATTAATGGTGAGAGACAGGTTTGGGAATGAGTGAGCTGGGAGTGGCATGAGGGAACAGACAAGGAAAGGTAAGTCACAGAGGATACCAGTTTCATTTAATGTTGCTTTAGAGCCTGATTAACAGGTTGCCTGTACTTACCTGTTGGTGAGTTTAGGTGAGACATTCCATCTTGGAATGAGATCAATATTAGAAAAGAGAAGGAAGTAATGAATTAACAAGATGCAGGCAGGATCTCCTCTGGACAACTATGCAAAGTTCTTTAAAAAAAAAAGTGAAGAAAAAGGTTTGATAGGAATTAATGTGAGGAGATGATTTGGGCAAGTACCTGCTCATTATATGAACCTCCTGTAGCCACATATTCTAAGTTTACCTACCACTACTAACTCTTATCAAAGGAGTGGCCAATTGTTTATTTCATACAAAAGGCTGATTTGGAATTACATTTTCTACTGCAAACTTTTTTAGTATCGCCTAAAGGAAATAGCCCATTCCTAAAGGAATGTTACCTGGAAAACCCAACATGATTAAGGCCCTCCTATTCCCACCTCTCTCTCTCTCTCTCTCTCTCTCTCTCTCTCTCTCACTCACACACACACACACACACACACACACACACACACACAAACACACACACAAACACACACCATGCCCCCATGGTTCTTGACTCAGACCCAATCCAGGATTTCAGGATCCAAGGAAAATGGGTTGAAACATTTCACACCTGGCTCCTAAATTCATGCCCCAGAAACCATCCCCCTCCCTCCAGCTCTCCTCTCTAGCACACGGATGGAAGTCTCTGGAATGTTAATAATCATAAAAGTAAAGAGTGTCTGTTCATTAGAGCCCAGAATGAGCACTTCAGGCAATCTCATTCCCCATGAATAGGAGATAAAGTATTTTTCAAACTATGACCCCCCCCAGAATGTGACCTTTCCAGGTACCACCATCCTCCTCTCCTCAGACCTATCCTGGCTGTCTTCATGCAAGTTTGTGTCAGCCATAATAGTCTCAGACAGGGTTTTTCCTTCAAGATTAAAGTTCCCACATTGAAAACGTGAAAGGGAAAATTGTCTCCCAGAGACATAAGTAATGTGAAGCCAAAATGTGCTTCCCACAAGCTTTTTAAAGGGTCCACTGACACTTAAAACAAAGGAAGGGAAGGGCGGTTGATGCAGGGAGTGGGGAGCAGGAGAGGTGAACAGAACACAACTGGGAGGCAGTGACATCAGGAAGAAAAAGCTTTATTGTTACAGAGAAAATGACTCCCAACACCTGGTTCTGTAGAACTGTGTCTGAGAGGGGAAGCCAGGCCGGTGAATATCAGAGGTTAAGCCTCTAAAGGATGGAATGAACATGGGCAGGAGGAAGTGGAAATGTGAAGCATTTCAGAAGCCTTCTGTGGAAAAACGGGAGACGAGGCGCCTCTGGCTGGGGCAGGTCTTCTGCACTTGGGCTCTGCCAGTGCTGCTCCTCATGGCCTAGGTCAGCAGCAGCCCCCGGAAGAGCAGCCAGAGCCCCCAGAGCTGTGGCAGCAACCAGAGCCCCCAGAGCTGTGGCAGCAGCCAGAGCCACCAAAGTGCTGACCACTGCCACTGCCACAGCAGTCAGAGGTCTGGCGTCGGCGTCGAAGAGACCGGCGGGGCCTGTGGTGGCTCAGGCAGCAGCTGCCACCCCCAGAGCTGCAACAGCCACCACCCCCAGAGCCACAGCAGCCTCCGGAGCTGGAGCTACAGCAGGAAGAGACTGGAGGTGGGCACGGGGCTGGACACTTGGGGGGGCACTTGGGGGGACACTTGGGAAGGCATTTGGGAGTGCACTTGGGAGGGGGCTGGCACTGCTGCTGGCTTTGCTGGCAGGACATCTCAGCAGGAGCTGTATAAAGCTGAAAGACAGTACAGAAGTTTTTAATTCAGCTAGCCCAATGTAACTTCCTTACATTTATAATTGAACTTTGATTTCACAAGATTTTATCTCTATGATGATCAGCTTTTAAAAACATAATCTCCCAAAATCGATGATAAGAAATATACAAATGATTTCAACCTAAAAACTCCATATTTTCAGATGAATTCTTTGCAGCTTCAAAAAGGCACCAATCCCTCATTCCCTTCACCTACCTCCACCCTCCCCTTTCAGAAGAACCCTCCCTTTTAAATCCTCCTTTTTCCTTATCTTTCTTCACAACTGTCCTCAACCTCCACCCAGGGCCTCTTTTTGCCCAAAACACCAGCACCAGAGCTCATCCTAGTCCCTGAGAAGCACTCTACCTGGTTCAGGCACTGGAGCCGATCGATCACCCAGGAGGCAGGTGGACTGAGGTGCTATCAGAGGCTTCTACCTTTTATACAGTTCAGCTCTGACCTGGCATCAGGAGATGCAGACCATGCGCGGATGCTGATACCCAGGAGGCAGGTGGACTGAGGTGCTATCAGAGGCTTCTGCCTTTTATACAGTTCAGCTCTGACCTGGCATCAGGAGATGCAGACCATGCGCGGATGCTGA